TGAGCGCTGGTGTGGACGTGAGTCCTCTCGCCCACCTCACCCTGGCCCACCCATGTCCCCTGGTAGAGTGGACGGCACTGAGCGCTGGTGTGGACGCGTGTCCTCCCCAGCCCGCTCTGGCACCCTGACCCCCTCAGTTGCCGTTGTTAGGAACAATCCAATCGACTCGGCCTCACAGCAAGCTCACGAGCAACAGATCTGAACCCGCCCGCCCCGGCCATCCTCATCCCCTCCGCCGTACGTGAATCCACTGTCACGGTCAGGCCCTGAGCTTTGCTGTGGACACTGCTCCTCCCCACAGCCCACCCATTCAATTACCCTGAGGTGAAGGCGTATGGGGTAGGTAGGCAGGAGGGCAGAACCTGAGGAAAGCAAGGTGGCCCCCAGCTTTGGGACCCTGAACTGTGGGCTCTGCCACCTGTGGGCTCTGCCACCTGTGGCCTCAGCCACCCTCCATGTGCGCCCTGTTGCTGTTTGCCTGAAGGCGGGGGGGGGGGGGCCTTGGGCTCCTGTGATGACCTCTGGGGCCTGGGGACAGGGGCCACGTGAGCAGGGCGCCTGAAGCTGAGGCTGCCTCCCACCACTGTGGCTGCTGCGGTCCTGGCCTGAGGAACACCACCACGAGGGGCGCGACTGAAGCCCAAGTGTCCGAGCACCAGTGACAGCTGGACAGACAGCACCATGCATTCAGTCACCCGCTCTCCTGGCACGGACACCCGTGCTGCATGGGGAACGGGCTGGTGAGAGGGATGGGGGCAGAGAGGAGGCAACCTTCAGGCTCCACACCCACGCCTGGTTGAACCCCCACTTACCCATGACAAGGGCCCAGGACAAAGGCTCAGAACCCTGGGCTCCCCACATGCCAGCGTTACAATCCTCGAGGATTACTGAGGGGCTACCCCGAGACCCTCCTGTGAAATGGCTCCCTGTACTGCATTGTACCAAATTAAGCAGGCCACACACCCGCCTGAGCCCTGTCCACGGGCCATCGTCACCCAGAGTGCGTCCCTGGCCAGGGATATATCTTGTCCAGGGGACAGCCCTCTCTGAAGGCCCTGGCTCACCCTGTTCTCCACTGTGGCCTGAGAACCTACATGTGTCTGGCTGGTGGCAGGTGTTCAACACGTAACTAAAGACTGAATCCAAAGGAGGCAATTCTGCCCATCCGGTCAACCATGACCTGTTCACTGGCCTCAGCCGACTCAGGCTGACCTTCCACCAGGTTCCTGGGCTGCACTTCCCAGGAAGGACCTTGGCACAGGTGATGGGTTGGGTCAGCAGGGTTAGGGTTGGGGTTGGGTTTGGGGTTAGGATTAGGATTAGGGTTGGGGTTAGGGTTAAGGTTAGGACTAGGGTTGGGGTTGGGGCTGGGGCTGGGGTTAAGGTTAGTGTTAGAGGGTTAGTTAGGGTTAGGGTTAGGGTTAGAAGGTTAGGGTTACCATTAGGGGTAGGATTGGGGCTGAGTTTGGGGTGTCCCTGTGTTGAGGCCACAGAGCTCCCTGTGACTGCAAGCTGTGTACTATCGAGTCCAAGACAAACACCAAGCTGAAGTCTCCGTAGGAGGGAGGTGCCCGTCCGTCTCCTGCAGAGCAGCTGGTGGATCTGAACCTCTGACTTTCGGACCGCAAAGCACTTCTCACCTTCCGGCCACCAGAGCTCCCTGTAACCATGCAGTTACACCAAATAGGCAGAAACTGCAAACCGTGATGTTCTCTGTGTCCTGACACCCGCACCTGCAGCCGTGTCTGCAGGAAGAGTCTAAATTGCTACTTCTGCTCCTGTGTTCCTTCGTTAAGGGGAAGCTGCCCTCCCACTGTGCCAGGACTGGGACCAAGGCTCCGTAACACGGTCTCATCCACCCTCCACAGCAACTCCAAAGGGCGCCTCCATCTCACACAGGTCCACTTCAGAGACACCCCGTGGCCTCTGGGCGCCAGGGTGGGGAGTGGCCACTGCGTGTGGAATGTGGGGTGCGGGGAAAGCGCACTGGAGGCAGGAGGTGTCAGAGCCACGGGCTGTGACATGAGCACACGTGCCACCTCTGCTGACACTCCTGCTGGAGCCCAGAGAGCGAGGCACAGGTCAGACAGTGAGGGCATGAAATGGGGCTCTGCCACTGCCTCCAGACGTCCACCAGCACTGGCCAGCGGGACACGGGACGAGAGGTCCTGCTGGGTCCACCGAGAGGGAGCTGAGGAAGGAGTCGAATCTGGCTCTGCCCTCAACACCAAGCAATGCAGGGCCGGGAGGCGCAAGGGGCGGGAGCTTTGGGGGTCAGTTTCCTGGGCCTTTATTGTGCACCAGGCGGTACTTACATCGGGGCAGAACGGGGGATCCAGCATGTTGGCCTCCAGCCTCTTGAAGTTGATGCCCTTGAACAGAGGATGCTGCTTGACCTCCTCGGCTCCGTACCCGCTGCAGCCCAGACGCGCCTTTGGGTCTTTGGTGAGTAACTGAGAAGAGACAGCAGAAGAGCAAGGCACCAGCTCAGAGCCCATCCTGCACAGCGACAGCCCGCGGGCAGCGGGCAGAGCCCAGAGGGCAGGCGAGTCATTACCACCCCGTCCTGCAGACGGGACAGCTGAGGCCAGAGAAGCTGGTGCTGGGGGCTGAGACTCAGTGTGACCTGAACCACAGCCAGGGCCCCAGTCACTACCTTCTCCCCATCTCCTAGTGCACAGAAAGACTCTCGTGCCCGTCTCCAGCTCAGACCACGTCGCACCAGGGACTCTGCAGCTACCACACCTGGAAGACCACTGGAGTTTCCACGGCTCCCTGCACTCACTCGTCCATCCTGCCTGTCCCATTCAGGCTGACAGCCGCAGCCCCTGGCTTGGACCTGCTGGGCAGCCCTCCTCCTGGCCCACACCGCCCCCTGCCTGTCTCCTCCTCAGGCCAGGCAGCCACGATGGCCACTTGGTGGGCTGCCTTCTGGTCACTCTGCCTGGCAGGCTCCAGCCTTCACTGTCTCACAGCTCCTGTCATGAGAAAACGTCCCGGTAAAGTCTTTAAACTGGCGCTGTCCTGAGCGTCCTCCCCGAGGCTCAGCAGTCCTGAGCAGGCAGCCCATCTCCACGCCCTGGCCTCTGGTCTCCGGCTGGAAGCGCTGCCTCTCCTAGTCACGCAGCAGAAGAGACACTGCGTGGGCAAGGTGCTGTCCATTCACCCACGGTGAACTCCGAGCACACCGATGGGGCCCACACAAAAGCAGTCTGATAGTTCTTTGTTGAGTGAAAATGAACGGAAAACATGCTTGGAAAATGATCAGTGCCAGTTTGAGACAGTGAAGTGATGACGTGTGCGCCTGGCATCCAGTGCGCAGCTGCACAGCCCGTGGGTGTGGGACCTGTCCACTCCCAAGAACACACACTACACACACTGCGGACAGCACCTCCAGGGCCCTCCTCCCTGAATGTCTGCTTGGAGGTGTCACACCGTGGATCTGCCACCAGGGCCCTCTCCCCCAGTCCTCTGATCAGGACAACAACGCGTTGTCACAATAACCAAGAAGAAATAAGATCAGGAGGTTAGGGAACCTTACCATTTAAATACATTCAATAGCCCTTTACGTTTAGTTTCATACACACTAGTCTATGAGAGCAAGCTCAGCTGTCCTCTGGAACGAGCGTAAAGCCCGGCCCTGGCCTCCTCCTCCCCGCATCTCTGGAGACAGAACACGCGCTCTGTTCAGCTTCACTCCAATGGAGCCGGGAGCCCCCTGCCCTGGGCTAAGGGCCTGCTGACCCACTGGGGACAGGGAGCTGGGATTATCACCAGCGAGGCCCCCGCTCTGTAAGGACCTGGCTGCAGGCGGAGCCGGGGAGAAGGCCGCGTGGCTGCCGAGTCGCGCGTCCACACTCACCAGCCTGCAGATGGACTTGGCGTCCTCTGAGAACTTCTCGGAATACTGCTCTTTGTCCTTCTTCACTCTGCGGTCCATCTCCTCCCGCTGGACTCTCTCTTTGAACTTTCTGAATGGAGAATGTCCCTGAATCATTTCATATATCACACAGCCAAGTCCCCACCAGTCAGGGCTAAATGTATAGTTTTCATTATTGATAACTTCCGGAGCTATGTAACAAATACAGGAAATGAAACGAAACGATGGCTTTAGATTCTCTGGTCATGAATTCCAAACAACACATTAGCTATTGAGGGTTGTGACTATATGGACGAGCCCTAAGAGCCCAGGAAAGCAGAGCGGCCCGACACCGAGGGCCCGTGCTGTGTGCGGTAGTGTCGTGCACTGTCACATGCTGTGTGCGAAGTCATGTGCTGTGTGTGCTGTGTGCAGTGTCATGTGCTGTGTGCAATGTCGTGTGCTATGTGTGAGGT